TAAAGTTGAAGTTTACACATCAAATTATTTCCTATAAAATTATTTGACTCACCCTGAAAGCCTCCTGGGTTTGTCTAAACTGCTCCATTGAACTAGATATTCGTTTAAGCTAAGTCCTTACGACTGTAAAATAACAGATTGAATGTGATGTTCCCCAAATCCCACCTAAGAGCACTTCTATTTATGAAAAGCATCTGGTTTACATTCTACCAGAGGGTACAGGTGGTCTCGAACAACTCGAGGAAAACCAACGAAATTCGAGAAATTGTGTTCTTTATTTTGAAGTCGCTTAGGTCAGACAGTACAGATTACATAAAATTAAGAGAAAAATGCTTTTGCTGATTTCAGATCTGATCTGGGCCCTACAAAATCCTTTTTTAAAAGTTGTTTAACCTTATTTTCACAACATTTTCCGGAGTCCATAGTATGCATGATAATTTTTACATTTGGACTGTAGACTTGGTATATTTCCAGAAGTTTCGCCGACAACGTCAGTGAGCCTTGCTAATCTTAGAGCCATACAACAACTTGCCAAAGTGACAAGTGAAGTTAATCATTTGGCCAATTGTCTGCTAAATAGTTATGATATCTCTCCTTTCTTAGTGTATTCACCCATCCTATATCACCGTAATACCCCTTCATTACCGCAATTTCTCACTTGCTTATATGCACATAATTGAGATGTGCCTTTCGCTGGTTCCCACATCCCCCCACAGCGTCGGGAGTGTTGACACAAGACTGACTTTTATTCCGCAATCTTCTTCCTCCTGGTCCTATCAGGGTCTTCCTCTTGCCCCGTAGGATCCGGCTCTTATCTTCCTGGTTCAGAGATTTCACCGAGTAAATCTAGTGGTCATGCCAGCGAAACGTCTGAGAATGTACCAAGTGCACAGTATGATGATGGGAATTATGATAACTAGTATGAGAGAGGGCTTCGGACAAGGTGCGTTCAACTAAGTCATCCTGGCAACAAGACCAAGTTGAGAAAACGAGGTCAACATACTTCCCAAATGTTATAGTTATTTAAATTCATTTGGTTAGACTCACTATAGGCATCTCTTCTTGGTTCCCGATTGTTCTTCTGAGGCATTCCTGCAATTTATTTTCTTCAAATTGAAAATATTTCTTTGATTTAGTAGACTTCTTTTTCACGATATTACTGTTCCCTGATCAGCTGCTAGTTTGCTTAGGCAGTACATAAAGTTTTCACTAATCCTACCTTCTTCAAGTCTCAGGTTA